CTTGGAGGGACCAGAGTAATGTTGCTCAGGCCAAGGCTTTCTGGGTCCCAAGTGTGGTGCAAAGCCAATGTCTGACAGCTCCAGAGGAACCAATGGCTTCAACAGGCATTCAGAGCTTAGCAGCATGGCACCACTGGGAACTTACAAGAAAAGCAGGCCCTCAGGACACTGGAGCCCCACCAAATCAGGCCCTGTGATGTACAGGCCTCCAGGTAAGTGGTGTGCATGTTAGATTTGAGAGGCATTGGTTTGCAAAGCCCTCCTGCCATCTTTCTGAGCTGCAGAGGTGGGGCACTGTACTGATTATGAGCTCGAAATCCGGACCATGCACCACGTACCAGACCCTGGCTCTGGGCTCTGCGGGGCTGTGCAGGGTTACCTCAGGATCCGAGCACAGGTCTTGCAGTCAGACTTCCAAGACTCAAACCTTCACTGTGCTTGGTGGCTCTGTGACCCAGCATCTCTAAGCTTGTTTTTGCATCTGTGAAGTGAAGGTAATGATTAAAAATAGTCCCTGTCCCATAATGTTCACTGCAGTGTATAGACAGGATATCTGGCCGATGTATTTAGTTCAGTGCTTGGCACTCCATAGGTGGTCAGCAATTATTAGTGTGATTATCTCTCTAGCTACCTATTTACCTATCTGTCTGTTGAAGTGCAGGCAGGATGGACATACCTACCTCATAGCCTTTCGGAGAGGATTAAATAAAACTACTTGTAAAGTGCAATCACAAGTTCGCCATTAGAAGAATAAGAATTCTTTCTGCAAATGACAGAAATAAGGAGGCTTATTTTCCCCAAAGTCGCCTCAATGGAAACACCCACCAAGGTTTTATGTCCTCCTCAGACTCTCACAGGAAGAGATGTTTGCCTTTGCTAAGTCTTCTTTGGTTCACTCCTTGTGAGTTGGAAGTGTTCTTATGAGTGAAGATAGAGAGGGAGCAGCGGAGTGGGACTTGTCCATAACTAGAGAAGTGGAACATGCCTGAAAGTGAGAGTGGGCATCGCAGAGAGAAAGGGCACCGTCCACGCAGGACAAGCAGCCTCTACGAGGATCCAGACCTGCCTGGCTGGTTGCACAGTCCTTTCTCATCTTTGGAATCACCGGAAGGACAGGCGGGGCAGGGACTGTCAGCCTCTCTGTGTATATAGGGCATCTAGGTTAAGCAAGGTTAGAGGGTCAGTCAAGACTTCACCCCAAGGCAGGCACCCCCCACCCCACCCAGTGCTACCTACTGAGATGTATGTGTCCTGTACCAGAGGGGCATTGCTCAAGCATACGATTTTCTTGAAAAGAAAATTGGAAATAAAATGCATCAAGGACAGAAGCTGGTGCAGAGGGATTGAGTTAGACGCTAGAATGTGTTCCCCAAGGAGGACTTGGGGCCAGCCGTTTTGGCCATCATGCTGATCCTACCTGTCCAAAGGACTAGGACACAGACAACTCCGCAAGGGGTCAGGGCAAGAAGAGAAAATGGATGAGGTGAGGCGCAGCGCTTGGGGACAGGCCTGTCCGCAAGCTGAGTTCTCAGGAGGGAGGGGCTGAGAAAAGGCGGCCCCTGTCAGGAGGGTGGCGCTGCCCACTGGGGACACAGTTTCCTTCTGCTTCTGCCTGGATTCTGGGTCCCACCTTCCTTCCACTGCAGAGTCTCCCTCTCTGTGAGCAGCAGGCTGGGGGCACTCGGAGCTCAGCCTCTGGCTTTACCAGGCTTCACCTGGGCTCCACCCTAACAGTGACTGACCCCAGAGGGGGTGATCTAATCTTCTCACCTCAATGTCCTCATCTGCCAGTGCACAAGCATCCATTGATTAATTTACTTGATGAATGAATTGATCTCAAGGAAGGAAAAGGAGATCAAGCAGATAAAGCACGTAGTGTGGTGCCTAACACATATTAAGTGTTCACTAAAGGTTAGCAATGGCTGTTATCATAATTTTCCAGGACTAAGTCAGAGTAGAAATCTGTAGAACTGTATTTAACATGACTATGTTAATTTCAAATTTTCTTAAAATTGATTTTTAGAGAGGGAAGGAGAGGGAGAGAGAGAGAAACACCCATGTGAGAGCAAAACATCGATCAGCTGCCTCCTGCATGCCCCTACCAGGGATGGAGCCCTAACCAGAAATGGAAGTGGCAACCTTCTGATGCACGGGACGATGCCCAACCAATTGAGCCACACCGGCCAGGGTGACTATGTTAATTTTAATTAGTACAGGCAAAGAGATGCTTGTCCTATTGAACCCATGCTTTAACGTTGAACATTGGTATTTCTTTCATGCAGGACTGTCACATTCTGAGAACACACTCACCATGACAGTCATTAGCAGGAGGTAAGGCCCAGAGTGGCCCGTCAGGTCCTTCCCTTCCAAGAAAGCCAGCTCATGCTCTGCAGACTTAGGAGTGAAACCACAGAGCTCTTCCTTTCTCACTTCTCATGTGGGTGGAGACCCAGATGTCACCCTCTCAGAAACCCTCTGTGCAATTTCCTCTCAGAAACTAAAGCAGCCCGTTCCCCATCAGAGGTCATGCACAACACATGCATGAAGTGCTCCAGCATCTGGGCAAGTTCTGTATGAAACAAGTGTCAGCTGAGCCAGGGAGTGCCAGAAGGAGAAGCTGTTTTAAGGATAAGTGAACATGGATGAAGCATCTATTTCAAGACAGAGGTACCTTCAGAGTGACTGAGATGGAGAATTTGGTTTCTGGTGGACAAAGCCAAATTGTGGACATCAGGCACGCATGTGGATGCAGAGGAGGAAAGGGAGAGGTTAGGTGGACAGGTGAGAGCTGTGACATCAGGGAGGGTCAAGATCTGGGCCAAGTTCTCGCCTCACTCTTCATCATGCCAGGCCTGTTATCTTCTGCTCTTGGCACATCATTTGTCCTTCCATGGTGCCACATGAACGTGACATCAGAACAGTCTATGATGTTGGTAACAGGATTGTTCCAAGAGCACAAGCTCTGGAGACAAATGTGAACGCACAGAAACTTACACATGAAGAAGAGCTAAAACCTTAGAGGGGAAGTTCAGATTGGGGAAAATGTGACAATTGCTTACGACTGCAATTATCCTCCTCGATTGTTAGAGGTCAGAGTGATGAGCCATTTGGGGTTACTTGCCTTAACAAAATGAACAGTATCATCCAATACCAAGCGTCACCTGGCCCCTCAAGGACTGATTTGTTAAACCTAGGTTACATTAAGGTTGCACCAAAAAACAAGGGTTTCAGTTTTTGCTTCTGTTGAGTTCTAGTATTTTTACTCATAAGTAGTTGTGGTGGTTTTTATAAATGGCTTTTCAAGCATTTTTCAGGTTTCAGTTCTTACAAATGGCATCTGTCCCCTTTTGATGTCATCAGGCTCTTAAACATTTGCTTCTATAGTGATATATGTGAATGATGTAGTCAAGCCTTGCTCATGTTATAAGGAAAATCACTAAGCTCCTCAATGTTTTACTAATGTGTGGACATTTCCACGTCCTACAGAGCCATTGCAATGGCTCATCTCACAATAGTGATCTCAAAAAATAATATGATTTTGTATTTTCATCTTAATCAAAATATTGAATGGCAAATAATCATTTATAGAACGTCCATTTCCATTAAAGTTTACAACCCAAACAAATATACATGAATTAAGTCATTGAAGTATTTACTGAGCACACACTATATGCTCAATGTTATGCTAGGCACCAGCTATCAAAGACATACTTCTTATGGTGGAGAGGCTCACAGCCTAGAGAGATGGGCCGTCGGAGGACTGAGGGATTCACTAGTCTTCAGACCTCAGTTGAGCGTCTAATTCGGCCCCTCACAGCTACAGATGAGAAGACCTCACACAGGATGATCAGATTCTAGAGCTGCTTGTTTGACTCCACTCTGGCCTGGACCTGGAGTCAGCAGCTCAGGGTTTAGCAGGATGAGGACACCGAACAGGTATGAATAAAGGAAAATTGCAGTGACCTCATTGAAAGCCTGTAGTACAGTTATCATGCATCCTACATATCGTTAGCAGCCCGTAACAACCAAAGCTACTTATCAAGTAGCTGCTCTGCTCCAGGTACTTGATCATCACATCACATTCATTATTGTCCCATCCTCCCAACAATCCTCCCAATTCCATTTTACATAAGGGGAAACCGAGGCTCAAGACTTCAGCAAAATCACCAGTCAGAATTTGAGGCTAGAACTTTTTAGCTCCAGAGTGAAGACACAACCATTACTTAGTTTTGTGGCTTGATACCCACCTCTACCAGCTACACATTGAAACTTCAGAGGTCCTACTGCTTCTCACCCGATCTCTCTCTCTTTAGAAAGTGGCCCTTTCCCAAGGGCATAGATTGATCATGCTGGTCTTAGTGCACCTGCCATTTAAGAGTACTCAGGTTCTTCTAAGGCAGCGGTTCTCAACCTGTGGCTTTCGACACCTTTGGCAGTCGAACGACCCTTTCACAGGGGTCGCCTAAGACCATCCTGCATATCAGATATTTACATTCATAACAGTAGCAACATTACAGTTATGAAGTAGCAACGAAAATAATTTTATGGTTGGGTCACAACATGAGGAACTGTATTTAAAGGACCAGAAGGTTGAGAACCACTGAATCTAAGGGTTCAAGAGCGGAAGTCAACCCGGTTATCTGCAGGGAGGCAGCTCCCTGAGCAGCTTCATAATGACTAACAGTGTTATGTTAGCACATTGGTATCCCCAATTTTACATAATCAGGTATTTTTGAAATAATTAACCATCAGGACCTTTACAATAACTGGGAGGCTGGGGATGGACTAGGCACTGAGGCCATTTTCCTAAAGGATTTGTGAGGACCACTGACAGGCACCTCTAAATCCACCTCTAAGGGTGGAACAGACACTCAAACCAAACAAGCAGAGACGATGAATTCAGCCCCAGAACCAACCACCTTCAGACCCATCCCTCCCGTCAGCCAAGGAGGCCTAGAGTATAGACAGCAGAAACCATCCACAGACAACTTCCCCAAACATTTGCTTGTATAAATAATTTATTTCTGTTCACAGCATCATATAGGCATATAAAAGGGGGCGGGGACAGAAGAGCAAGGATGGATCAAGACAGAATTGTAGCAGTAGAAATGAAAACAGCCAGGAGACACAGTCCCAACACCATGACAGAGAATGGGGGAAGAGAATTGTTCTGAAACAAAGCTGGCCTCCCTGTATCTGTGAGAAAACGCTTCAAAAGTTCCTGTGGGGAGACCCACTTCCTCCATGTGGCACCCACTCATTCTCCCAAGGGCAGGAGGCATCCTAAATCACTGACCGCTAGGTCGGAGGGGACCTCTGGGCTGATGCCTCCAAGGTGATATGTTTGTTCACAGATGAAATGGGCTATTATTAGGTCAAACATTATAGAAATCAACGGAGACTCTTAACTATTAGTTGAGACACCACAGGGTTTTACTTTACTACACAATTACTAACAGCTGACTGCACCCTTGAAGTGTTGATAGTGCAAGAAAACAAAAATCACTTCGCATCATCTGTAAAGCATGGCAGGATTTGAACAGTGATCTGGAGCCTAAGAATGGTGAGCATGAGAAGGTTACAGTATTTGGCATCTGCAATGTCACAAAATAAATATATTATTCTCTCAATAGTGTGGAACTACCAAAATGTCAAAGTGCTTAAGAAATTGTTGCATGTGAAGAAAATAAAGAAGATGGATTTTTTTTTAATAATTCTATACAGAGTCTTCAATGATGGGACCAGCCCATTTAGAAATCAGTGAATATGCTGTTGATATGTAAACTGAAACCTTGCAGGCTTTTCAACACTGCTTAGCTATATTTTCTCTACTGAGTTTCTACAAAAAGACCACCATTGGAGGGGTACCAGATACACCAACAAAGGAGAAAAGAAGATGGGCCTGCTAGGTTCCTTCTGTCAAAATATCTCATCTAAGAACTGGGTTTCAAGCAGGAAGCCAGGAATTCTATCTCTGGTTCGTAAATGAACTTTCTGAGTGCAATGGACAACAGGCATGACTGTATCATTTGACTAACTGATCATGTTCAAGCACAATCATGCCCTATTTCAATAGGCTTCCTTCGCAAATTAACTTATAACGGTGGGGGGAACACATAATTCTACCTGTGAACATGGATTCAAAGAGGAAATAAAAATCGAACAGTAAGCTTAAGTTTCCCTTCCGATACCGTGTCTCAGGGTAAAATAACAGCTTTTGCTAACCAAGACTCAGTCCTGATTATAAAAAATTTTATTTAAATTACCTTATTAAAAATATCTATTCTTTTACTTTATTTTCCAAAGCTTCTTTCAACTACACTGTCAAGTGCCGGGGCACAGGTGACCGTGACGTCACAAGCTTGCTTTTTATCTCAAGCACCCACTGTGGTTCGCATTTGCTACGCAGGCCGGTTCCCACAAAGATGAATTAGGAAGAGCCTCATCCTGGTACTTTTCCTTCGCTTTTAAATCCATGCAGCGAGGTCAGCTTTTACAACAAGGTGGGGTTTTATTTTGTGGTGCATGACATGAAATACTCTAATGACACATTTTTAATAAAATTCCTAAACAAGATAGACCTCAATGAACCCAATTAGAAATTTGAACATCTCGCCACTTGCAGCGTAAAGGGATATAAAAGGGCAGAGCAAAGTCTTTTTTCCTACGGTGAATATTTCTAAGGTGAACATTCACTTGTATAAGTTTTTTTTTTCTTTTTTAACATGTCTGAAAACCAAAACCCATCATCAGGCGGTTAGTATGAGACATTCCTTGCAAAAAACCATCTTGCAATTCAGCACACATCTGCAGCTGGTGTGCCCACACAAACCAATCGGTAGGCTAAGAGAACTTAAGATTCCACACATATGGGTCTAGATATTTATATCAATGACATACTACAGAGGGAGGTCCCTGTGTCCACACACACACATCCATCCAGCATTTATATCCAGAGCCTTACCCTTTAAACACCTTTAGCTATCCTGCAAACAGTAAATGCATCATTTGCCACCACCTCCAACAGTTTTCACTTTATTTTATTTTTTTATTGGTCTCTTTGTGTGATAATGACCTACACATGGACAGGTCCAAACCATCTGGATGACGTCTGATTCCAGGTGAAAAGCGGTTCTCAGCAAAACTGGTTCGGTAGCCACCACAAATCACCAGGAGAGGGGCATCTTCGGGGCCATTTCCTCAGCCAAGGTTGGTGCGGCACCCCATGCCCTGGGGCTGTGTATTGTTCCAGGCAGTCCTCTGATAGCCCAAACCACCATCTCCTTTGGGCCCAGAGCAGGACAAGTGAAATTTCAACAGGGTCCTGCCCTGTGACATAACATTATCCGGCTTCCACCGCCCATGGATGCAAGGAGTGGTGGTTCCCCCAGCACCTCCCACTGCCAACATGCCCCCCACCCGGGGACACCCAGGGTTCTGGGAGTTGCATACCTCAGGTAACTCACAGGTGAGGGCGGGGCAGCCTGAACTTCTGGCCCTGCTGGAGTAGGAAGGAATCGCTTTTGTTTCTGATATCTGAGCCTTCCACATGGGCCAGGAGGGCAGCCGGCAGCCCAGGCACGTCCACTCCCCAGGGCGGCCTCCCACCCCATCAGGGAGCTCTGGCAATCAGACAAAAGGTCCCCTGAGCTGGGGGTGGGAGCAGGTGGAGGGCAGGCTGGCAAGTCGGCCTATACACCCAGGTTAAGTCAATAATCCTGCATCCGGGTGCAGAGATTCCATGTTAAAAATTCGAAGCATCGCTTTGGTTCGCTGTCTTTGTTCGCGGACGCGGGTTCTCGCACATCCATTCATTCCTGCCTGGCTCACTCGCTCACTCCCCCCTCGCTTCCGAGCGCGGCCGGGCACATTACCGCTTCTTCTTCTGCTTGAGGGACTTCCTGCGTTTCAGGATCATCTCATAGAGCTTGTCCATGCCCTCGGTGAGGCCCTCGCCGATGATGGCGCACGCCGGCTGGACGTGGTAGGTGGTGGCCGGGATGAGCTCGTGCAGCGCCAGCTGCTTCTCGATCTCGGCCACCGGCAGCGACTTGGGCAGGTCCTGCTTGTTGGCGATGACCAGCAGCGGCGTGCCCTGGTTCTCGGCGAACTTGGTCACCTTGTGCAGCTCCGTTTTGGCCTCCTCCAGCCGGTCCACGTCCACCGAGTCCACCACGTAGATGATGCCGTCCGTGCAGCGGCTGTAGGATTTCCACAGCGGCCGCAGCTTCTCCTGGCCGCCCACGTCCCAGAAGTGGCAGCTGATGCCCTTGGCGGTGCCGTTGCTCAGCTTGATCTTCTCCGTGTTGAAGCCGATGGTGGGCACCGTGTTCACGAACTCGTTGAACTTGAGCCGGTAGAGCACCGTGGTCTTGCCGGCCGAGTCCAAGCCCAGCATGACGATGTGCAGCGACTGGAAGGCCGAGATGTTGGAGGAGATGTTGCCCATGGCTCCTCGCTGCGGC